TAGAATACTCAAAACTTAGAATACAATCAACCCAAAGTTCACAACGAACTTAGAAATTAAACCAAATTAGCATGCACAAATGCATCTCTGGAAAAATCAGCGACAAATTGACACGACACTCGGAATCAGCAAAAAAGTCATCGACCTAAATGAAAACAACTGACGAATTCACCGAGGGAGCTTTCTTCCCGTATCGTTCATTCCTCGCGAGCCTTTCTTCAAGCGTGTTCACGCGGTGTGCGAGGCAGAAAGCAGGAAAAAGGAGAATCAGAGAGTGCGGAGGAAAGAGTATTTCGGGTTGGACTTGTGCCCCTTCGTCGGATTCGAAGCGTGTTGCCGTGGCAAAAAGTTGGCCCGAAGACGTATGTTCATCACCAGACGGAGAGCTCTCGGGCTCGTCCACCGGCCCCGGACGAACCAGTTCTCGCCGCGTGGCGAGCGTTTAAGCCGCGGCTTAACCCAGCTTAAAGCGTTACTCGGTTCCCTCTCTCGTACTTCCGCCACGTTCCGTTGCCCGACTCGCCGCGGCTTTTAATCGAGCGCCACCGGATTATCGCGACTCGCAATCTTCCTCTGCGGCCTTCGAACCCGCCTCGTCATTCGTATTCGAGCCTTGATCGCGTCCAGATTCATCAAGTATCGAGTGGTATTCTTCTTTTCACGCCTCGCTGCTTCCAGGATTTTCTTTTTTCTTTGCAATTTTTAGTTGGAACTATTGCGTTGAATTCAGAATTTTTGTTTGTTTTGTAATTTTTGTTGTGAAAGTTTTCATTGCTTTTGGACTGAATTTGGAAATTTTCAACAGGATCTTCGATTGCCCTCGGAATTTTTCATTCTCAAACTGATTTGCTTTTATCTTGGAAAACTTCGCAAAGCAGAGAGATTTTTCATGATCTCGAGGCGTCTCAATATAAAATTCGATATCGGGAAGATTTAGAAGTTGTAAAATTTCAAATTTCCTCCGAAAACTTTCTCCGGACAGCTGCGCGACTTCGGCATCCCGGACTTCTCGGGATTTTCCGCAGGAAATTTAGGAGTGGCAAGTTTTCTTGTTTATCTACCGCCGTTTCGAACTCGCGGCGTCACACAGCCACGCTCCAGACTTCCAAATTCTCCTCTCATCCTCCCCTTCCCGTAATTCTTCAAATTTCCCGCCGCTTTTCCTCACCTAAGAATATTCGAACGCCCCGCGGAGAAGCTTCGTGTTTTTCGAGGATCCGCGACCAAAGAGGACTTCCTGTTTAACTTCTCGTCATCGCGAACCAGGAAACGTCTTAATGTTTGCCTTCCAGTTTCGACCCGCGCGAGTTTCGAAGATTTCAAGCTCCACGCGAACTTCTCGCGATCTTGATATTCTTGAAATTCCTCCAACTTCCACCAGTCCCGAGGAATCTCCACGTCCTTGGATGGAAGATTTCGCGATGCTCCAACCTCGAAACCTCGCACAGAAAGAAACGAGAAAGTTGATTTTCACCTGAGATTAAACGCGGTAATTCTAGTTAATTATAGATCGATACGAACGAACCGCTTGCGTAAGCGGTGGTGTTTTGCAATTTCGTCTTGTCGGATCGAAGAGCGCGCGTTACAGAGAAACCAGATGACCCAGTTAGATGGTGAACGCGGTTACCTCGGAGAAGAATACCTAACGAAATCACGCCGGTTTTTCTTTCAACGGTTAAGTTCAGCATTGCGAATGAATAGGTGTGTATCAGAGAGGAGGGCCTGATGGATTTCCAGTTGCCCTTTATCGAATTCAACAACCGAGAATTCCCTAAGTCGACTCGCCGGAAGCTCTGATTTCTCTAGAGACGAGCCTTGGCAACACAGAGGAACGAGGAATCAGATAAGGATCAAAAGGGTCCTTGATACTTTCCCTCTACCTTACGGTATCCATTTCGGCTTATCCCATTAACGCGTCACGTTTTGTCGCGGGAACGTCCAAATTCATTCGTGATTCTTGGAGGGTAGTTGTGGAAGCACATTCGTGAAAAACTCGAATTAAGGAATCTTTTCAAGTGTTACACGCGAAGGAAACGAACGTTTGGGATAACTGAGGACGAGTAACGTTCTTCGATTGTGTACAAGTGATTCTTCCGACAGAATTGAAGGCATTTAAAAAACTCTCTTAGAGTTAGCCGTAAGTCTTCTTAGGGGAATAAAACGTGTAAGAAACGCGGTGGAAATGAATCGAATAATGTATACACATCGCACCCCTGTAAACGTGCCGGGCTGTTTATCGTCCATCTTATCGCGTTACCTCTTCGCGTTTCGACCTGATGCAGCCGTAAACCGTCCTCCCTCGCGATTCTATCCACCTCGAACCCTCTTGGTCCCCCCCCGTGCTACACGAAACACATCGGGATATTTATTAGCCAGCCGTAGGGCGTTATCGAGTGGCCTGGCGTGGCCAAAATCGCGAGAATTCCACCGAGCTGTTCCCCCATCCTTTACAATACACGTACAACACCGTAACTCCATTGGTTTCTCGCCGTACTGCACGCCGTTCAAAACTTTCCGACCATTGTACATGGAAAACCCCGTAAAAATGTCGAGAGAAATATTAGCAATTATACGAATTTTTCGACGCATTCACACTGCGGACGAAACTCGTTGAATTTGTCAGCGCTCTCGTCACGAAGGACGGAGGGATCGCGAGGAATTTAAAAAATTTGGAAAATTTGCTATTTCGAAAATTAAGGGGGAACTGCGCAAGGGACGAAAATTAGAGATTAAATTCGCGTCAGGGGCACACATGTGAAAGGGTTAAATACCACAAAATTTGAAAACTTCAATTTCTCATTCTCCATACGCCTCACAGATCAGAGATCTCTGGATGAAAAATCTTCCTCTTAAAATTTAACAAAATTTCGAAACTTACGTTTCCGAAAGGACACAAATTGAAGATTAAATTCGCGGCAAGGACACAGCGCGAGCAAATATTCGAAACGCCCGAAAACCACGAAAGGGTTAAACACCACAAAATTTGAAAACTTCAATTTCTCATTCACCACAGATAAAGATTCCCCTATCGCGAACTCTGTTCTCAGTAGTGTGCTCAATATTCCAAAAAGCCAGGATAAAAAGTACAGACGAAGAGGATCGATAGTGAATTGCACACATTGGCACAAATTGACTAACGGTTCGAAACTTTCGGTTAACGATGTATGCGCGTATTTACACGCGTTAACAGAAACGGGGTAAAACGGAAGAGAATGGGCTGCGGAATGAAACGAAGAGGGCGAAAGGAAGTTGGTGAAGAAGGACAGAGGGGTTGGTTCGAGTAGGGCCTTTGACTGGCGCATGAGGGGGACCAAACTAACCCCTCAGGTTGCTCGGTCTGCAAGGGTGCGCGATATTGATTCTTGCCTACCACTTCCACCGACGTTGTACTACCTGTACGCGCGAGTACCATCGTTACGGTGGTGTGGTTGTCTCTCGTGTTCCTCGCTTCTCTCACGTTCACGCAGACGGTGACTCGTTGCACGTCTCAATGAGCCACGACGCGATCGAGCCTTCCTGTTCGCAGAGACGACTCGTCTCTCCTACTCCTACTCCTCCTCCACTTTCTGTCTGATAATCGATAAGGATCGACGCTCGAGAGGCAGTTCCACGGGGATAAGATCTTCCGTCGCTGTTCGATTTCAAGCGGACCATTTTCCGCGTAATTCTACGCAGCATTTGACTTGTAACGTTGAGTTACAGCCGGTTCTAAAGGGGGAAAGATGAGAATTGGGCAATCAGAGGGTTTTGGAAGAGAAATTTGTAGATCGTTGTCGCTTTGATATTCGATAGCAATTGAATTAGCAACGATAGGAATTTCTAAAGTGACAGTTTCGTGCTATTTTGATAATTGGTTCACTCGTAAATTATCTAGGGAAAGTGAAAGTGAAGGAGAATAATTGAAAAAAAATTGCACTAATTGTAGGATTAATTGTGAATGCGTGAGACACAGGCGTTAGTGTCATGGGGTTAATAGCGCAGATCAATGAATTTCGTAAGTTTAATCCTGTTTCAGGCGTCATCGGTAGAAATACGCTATTAGCTAACTCTGGTGTACTACGATAATTCCTATCCAGCGGTAACAGCTCCCAAGAGTTCCCTATTCAAGCTCTCGAACAAGGCTAATTGTAGGTTCTTTGATCCAAATCTCGTTCGGCTTCATTTTCTCCGACCAGCCGACGATTCCATCTACTCCTCTGGTGTTTAGCAGGTGTACCAGCGTAGTTATGTTTAATTGAGCCACGTCGCGAGGTTTCTCTATCAATCCCGACCGTTTAGAGCTGTAACTCGACGTCATCGGTCTCACCGAAGAATCTCGTTTCGTTCCCCACTGCAGGTTGCTGTTCCGCGCGATGATCTTATCTTTCACGGAGAGCAACGCGGCCCAACGAGATTAATAACGCGAGATCGGGCTGCCTCGCAGTTCGAGTTGTGCTCGTCGGGAGAAAATAGGAGCGATGGTAGAGAGTCAGGAAGCAAGAGTAAGAGAGAGAGAGAGGGGGGGGGGGGGAAGCTGGCTCGTAACAGACAAATACAAGACAATGAAGATTAATGTTTCGGCCTGGTTCCATGACCGTACCGCCTGCTAGCCGACAGTACCGTGTGAACTGAGTTTTCGTTAATCTACAGGGACGCTGGTGTGCTGTTCTCTGTGATTCACGCGATGGTATTTAAATTAACGTGCATTTTCTACAGACGAAAGACGCGTGAAAATAGGGGAAGATTCGCTTCTTCTAGGTTAATCGTTCGTTTCGAAACCGTTAGAAATTGGACTTTAACCCTTTCGATATTACCATTTGACTACAATCGATCCTCGCTAAATGATTTCACTCGATTGAAATGAACTTCGGGCTATAGTTCACTGGTATTTGTTTCAATGTTGCTCTATTAAATAGATATGCATCTTGTGGTTAAAGTTTGTT